AAAGCTGGGCCTTAGAGTGGAGTTTAAGCATATGTAGGGGTATCTTAGTGGTATTTCTAATCTCCTATTTTAAAAGCAAAAAATAATAATTTCAAAATTGATTTTCAGCGTTAGCAGCTATGAGAAAAACCAAAGCTACCCTACAGATTGGTCTGATGAAGAGTCCAACAACCCCTTCTCCTCCACTGATGCAAATGGAGACACCAATCCCTTTGATGAAGACACCCCTCCTGCCATGGAGGTGAGAGTACGTGCACTCTATGACTATGAGGGCCAGGAGCAAGATGAGCTCAGCTTTAAAGCTGGTAAGTTTGCAATGTTCACTTTTAAAGTATTTATCAAAAAGGAGAAAGGCAGGGGATTCTTTTTGCTCTTCACCTTTTATTTTCTGAAGTCACCTGTTTCTCTGGACGTGCAATTCCACATACAGGATCCTGTCTAACCATCATCCCTCCTAATAGTGCTTTTTGGTATCCCCTGTTTGGCAGCACTGACTCCTAAGCTCTTTGGAATGTGTTGAGTTGCCTCTGAGATACTCCCTTCTTATCATCTTAAGTGAAACAAGATGACCTGCAGAACTGAAAATCTTCTCTCTCCCTTTTCTTCCCTGGTGACAGCAACAGCTGCTGCTTTTGCTGTCTGGAAATGCCAACCCTACAGAGTTGTTTTTTAAAGGAAACTACTACAGCAGCTATTCTTGAAATGGTATTAAATCAACTGATACCTTCTCTGTTTAAATGGAAAGCATCCAATTTTTTGTATCCAGCTTTCTGCACTGCTAACTTTTTAGGGTTGAAACTTTTAGATACTTTTAGATGCTTTTCAAACTGTCTCTTTTCACCCCTCTTCAGTGTATGTTAAGCACAGGAATTGTCTTTACCTTGTTTTTTTTAGTCTTGTGTTATATTAGGATACACTTAGTACACCTCTTCCTTCTTAAAGTGTTGTATCTTCTTGAGCCCTAAACCCTTTTTCCCTCACTGTTACAGGAGTTGAGAGAACAGAATAGATGCAGCTGATGGGGGACACCCATCACACACTGTTTCCACACACAGGAAGGTGACATCAGGGTGTGATGGCTGCACACCACAGGTGCTGCTGCCTCCAGCTGAATTCTACCCCCTGTTCATGACTTTCAAGCCAATTGTCAACTGTCTTGCCCAGAATTGCAGGAGGCATTTTCCAACCAGGAATTCCAGAACAAGATTGCAGGAGTAGTTTAGCAAAAGCAAACAGAACTTCACTTTGTGCAAATGAGAGACACACTTTGTCTCTTGTCCCAGTTTCTTGTCATTTATTCCCACCTCCTTTAATAACCAGATGAATTGTAATAGAAAAACAGGGTTCAAGTGTTGAAAAGAAGCTCCAGAAAGCTCTTTGTTCTGCCTCCCTTTCAGCTAGGGTTAGTTAGAAATGTGCTGTTGCTATGCCACCTGCTGTGGCTCTTAGGTGGATGCTAGGGCTAAAAGTTAGGAAACCAGTCGGTGTTGTAGCTAATCAGGGAACTGCAGGATGTCTGTTCTGCTGATAAAGGGGGGTGCTCAGAACAGTGTGTCCCCAGGTCATATCCAAAATGCAGTTTGTGCTTTCTGAACCAAAACACCCCCCAGCTCAGGTGGTGGTGCTCTGCCTTTAACTCACCTCCTTCCTTTTTTATTAGTGAAACCACTGAACAGCTGACTTTCCTTCTTTGTAGACAAGTATGGTAGGTTTCCAGAGTGGAGGAATGGTTTATTTGTCCATGAACTTTGCTGAATTGTGCCCTGACGGAAGTACAGTAGTAACAAAACATCTGGTACTGTCTGTGGAAAGCACACAAGCCAAAAGTTACTTTTCATTCTATAGACCTTACCTGCTCCATTTTTCTCAGCAGGGTGTGGAAGCATGCTAATGCTCTTGAAATATATCTCTGGTAGCTGTGAAGCAGCAAGGGTTTACAGTAATGAGTCTTTCCTTGGCAGAACCATGCAGTGTTTATATACACAGATGTAAGGGTTCAATACCAAGTTAGGTGGTGTGTGCTGGAGTACCAGCGGTGTCACTTGCATTAAACCACTGAACCAAGTGGCTCTCAGTGTGTGAGGGCTGTAGAAATAAAGCAGAGGGGGTATTAAGTGTGAGATATATGCAGACTTCACTTAAAAAGAGTGCAGTACTTTGAAGGAAGAGCATTAAAGAATATTACAACACCAAATTATGGCATTGATACAATTGTAGGAAAGGGATGATGTGCTAGACCATGAGTCCCCTGAGAGATGCTGAATAGGATGGCTGCTTAGTTATTAAGTTGTATGACTAGCTTTACACTGAACATACAAAAAACTAAGGAAAAGAACTCATTCTAGGTCAGGTGGGAGCCAATTTAAAATGTACTCAATCCAGTGTTCCTCTGTAGATATCCCTAGGCTCCTAAGCAGCTGTCAACAGAGGACTAATGCATTTTAAGGATTTGTTGAAATGTACATGGATATTCTCAGATAGGATTTCCTTGGATAGTCAAAGAATTTACCTACAAAATGCTCCTAAATACATGTTACAGAATATATGCTCTGCACAGTGTCCATTAAAGGTACTTGAATATATGAAACTCATTTTTTTACTAGAGTACTTTTACAGCTGGTGCGTATTGTTTTGGTTTTTTCTCTTGTCAAACAGCTGTGGGAGGCTCACAAAGAGCAATAATAACTTTATTAATCTCTTATGAGAGTTTTTATAAGCATGTAAGAAGATAGGACATAATTATTTACAATATGTCTGTCTCACCCTCCTGTGGCCCTCGGTGGCTGAGAATAGTGACAGTAAAGGTTGTCCCTGCAATGTTGTCAGAGTATGTTATTCCGTGTTCTGGTTTTGTCATCACAGTGGTTTCATTGTAACTGCTGTGCAGATGACACTTAAAAGTGTTAATATTTTGTTAGACCTCCAGGATCACCAAGTTTCCAAGCCCAAGCTTTGATAAAAATGCATTTGTTAGAGCATACCCTCATTCAGATGTGAATTTTTGGTAGTCTTTATTTCCACTCTTTATTAACACATGTTTCACAGAAGGTTTGAAATTGTACACTCTAGTTCTACAGCACTAGAAAAAGTGGGAAAGTTGTAACATTTCTCCATAAACCAAGTAAAGTCTCAATTGCCAAACATTATTCATAGTGGGTATTTATTAGTTTTCTGATAAAAACTAGGAGATGAAGCTTTAACCTTTTTATCTAAGATAAAATCTATAAAGATGAGTATCTTGAGAAGATTTAATATGAACTTGTCAATTTCTACCAAAGAATTTATAGTCCTTAGGCTAGTTTATAGTCTCCTAAATGACACCAAGACTCTCTACTATTTGGGACTGTAATAAGTGATTAATATCTTCATAATCTATTTCCTATTGCTAAGATAAAACACACATCAGTTTTATCTAGGGAAGACATTTGACACAAATTAGTTGCAAGGGAGGAAATAATTGCTACTCAATGTAGCCTTTTTTGCCTGGCTGAGGTGGAGCTTCCTTTGCTCCTGTGGAGCATCTTGGAGTCTGCAGGCTCTCAAAAGTCCAAGTATTCCCTGAGGATGTGGAATATCAGATGTGCATTGTAGTCAAAATGAAGTTATCTTATAGTTCATAAATGTCTGAATGGATAGTCTGGAAGTTAGCAAGCAAATTCTGAGTTACTTAATCTTTGTAGCATTTTTTTGCCATGTTTCCCTTAAAACCTTTAGACAATAAGCCTAATGAAACATTTATTTGACTTGCACTAAGCTGGGGAAAATGTTCCTTCTTTTCTTCAGGGGATGAGTTAACCAAAATGGAGAATGAGGATGAGCAGGGCTGGTGCAAAGGACGCCTGGACAATGGACAAGTTGGTTTGTACCCAGCAAACTACGTGGAACCAATCCAGTGACAAAGAACAAAATAAACACAGAAGTGTCACACGAGCTCTGTAGGCCTGTACAGTGTATTTAGGTGAGGTGAGAGGAAACTGAATGGATGTATAGAGTGTATATATTTTAATGAAAAGGTGAGGGCTTGATACTGAAATAAGGCTGAATGAAAGACAAAAGCTTGACATTGTTTCCACAACTTGTACACAATGCAAAGGAAAGGAGTAAGGTTGAAAAAATAGTATGATAGGAAAAATACTTTTTAAACTTTTTCTTCCCACAATGTCTGTTATTGTGGATCCTAAACATTTTTGCATTTTCTATGCTTATGCCTCATCCTACCCCAGGTATGTGGCTTACGCTCACTTTTGTTTAATCAATTATTTTAAGTGACCTTCAGTAACTCGCAACTTGAATTTTAAAGATTATTATAGTTAATTTTTTATTTGTTCTTATCAATGTCTGAAAGATGCAGTATTTTTTTATTTAAATGCTATGTAGCTAAGCACCTTTTTGTATGCTTTATCAATTAATACTTAAATTATGACATAGATTTAGTTACCACTTGACTGAATGAAAGCTCTTTCCATGTTGTAGTAATCTTTCTGTGTTGTCAGCATGGCTTGAAGTTGTAAATGGAGTTGTAAAACAGAATACTGTATTTAATAAATATCTGTTACAGAAGGTTATTTGTAGCAGAGATATCTGCCGGTGTCATGGGTTGGGATTCTATTACAAATGTTCTTTATGTGGGTTGACACTTGAACTAAGAGTTTTCCATCTAGATCTTAAGTGGCATTCAAAAGAAATATAAATTATACGTAAGCCCCTGAAGAGTGGCTATTTCCAGCACATGTTTGCAGGTAAAAAAAAAAAAAATCTCCTTTTAACTGCTATTGATTTTTGGGTGATTTGAAATGTTAAATCTGTGAAGGCTGATTATCTTGAACAGAGAAGACTGTAAAATAGACTAAATGCTTTTATTAAGAGCCTATCTATGTTGTGTATATGTACATATGATTTGATATTCCAAAATATGAAGAGCATGGCTATTAGTTATCAAGCCTTTTGGTGTCAATAAGATTTAGACTATTTTAAGAGTTTAAATTATAGGTATATTTAAATCTGCTTTCCTGCCATATCCATTACTGTACCATAGACAAAGTATTCTGTGATTAGATTTTTCAGAAGTACGGTAAATACACTAATATACTCAAAATCAGTATTTGTGGATAAATTAATGAGTCAAAGTATAAACTAGCTTTAGTCCAAACATGGATTATTGTAGCAGAACACTGTAAAATCTACATTTGTTTGCAGTTACAACTTGGCCAGCTGTAATCGTGTCAAATATGCACTTGTGACATTGAAAACTGGGTTGTAAAACTACAGCAGATCTGTATTAAAACTAAGTATCAGGTAAGTGGATATGCCATGTTAGGAAGCTACACTGTAATGAAGCTAACAAATCTTTTCCAAGGTAACTATAAAACACTGTTGGTAATCTTGGACTTTATAGTTTGCTTTTTGAGCTTATAGGTATATTTAGTTGTCATTTTCAGTGAATCCAAATGTGCAAGCTTAGAAAGTGGATGTATGTATATGTCTGTCAACAAAAACTTACCAATATGTTTGTTCATCCACAGGACAGTTGCTAAAATTGTCAGGAATTACTGGTTTGGGTCTCTGTATTGTAAAATATTTTAGAAAACAATAAAATCTGTTAATCTCTTAAATACACAGAATGCACCTTTTACTATTTCAATTTATGTCGTAACACAAATAATCTGTGCATTTCATTGCAATTTGTGGTGACAAAACCTGCATTGTGTAAAAGAGCCACAAGCAGGAGAGTGACATTGTGCCATGAACAAAAAAGGGAGTTGCTATGCACAGGAATTCTTGGCAAAACATTCCAGCAGAATCTTCATGGAAGAAGAGGAAACTGTATTTATGGCTGTACAGAGTCCACTGTGATGCTGCTTTCTGTGGTGTTGTCAAGTCTCAGATAGCGTGGGTGAGCAGTTAAGCTTTTTATTTCTTTTTAAATATAGTATCTGAATTTTTATTTTTATTTCCTGCCTTGCTGACTGGCAGTGATTAATGCAGTGCTGTTTGTGACAGCTGGCTGAAGGTTTTCTCTCCTCTCCCCCATCAACACCTGCTGAACAGCAGATCCCACTGGTTCAGCCCTGGTTCAGCCAGGGTCTGGCTGGGGGCCCAGCACCAGTGTGTCCCCCAGGATTAATTGTTCAATATATTCATCAGTGCCTTGGGTGAAGGGGTCAGTGGTGGCACAGAGCTGGGGGGAGCAGCCAGTCCCCCTGGGGCTGCACAGCCCTTCCCAAGGACCTCAGCAGGGTGGAGGCATGGCCAGAGGGGCTGTCTGAAATCCAGAAAAGGCAAATGCAGCGTCCTGCACCTGGGGAAGAATAACCCCAGGCACCAGGACAGGCTGGGGGTCACCTGCTGGAGAGCAGCCCTGAGGAGAAGGGCCTGGGGGTCCTGGTGGGCAGGGAGCTGTCCCTGAGGGCAAGGAGACCAGTCAGAACTCTGTAAGGTACTTTTGCAGGTGTTTCACACTTCTGTGATCCTAAGTAACTTATTAAATAATCAACTGCCACCGTTCTACTTAAGCTCTTAATAAATCTACAAGCCCAAACAGGAATCCTTCTGGGACACACTGCTATCCTCCCACCTTTTACTACTATAGTCAGTAACTGATTAAATGTTCATTTACTTCGTAGCAGTTTACTTCAGCTTTTATGAGGGACATTAGGAAGAACTCTTTGAACATCCAAGTCGCTTGTTACCTCAGCTGGATCATCTTGACAACTGAAAGCCCCAAGCCTGCAAGGTAAAAAAACAGATCAATTGTGAAGTACTGTGCTGATAGACACTTCTAGAATCTGTATGCAGGAAACACTGAAATCTGACTGCCTTGGCAGAGATAAAATATTATGTGGCAAATACAGGTGGGTTTTGCAGTGGGATGCTACATGCAGCTGGAGCTTTGCAAGTCCCTTGCATTGCTGGTGCAAACAGCAGGCTCACACAACTGAGTGTTGCTGCTTGTAAATCCCAGTAAATAGCAAGAGTTTGGCTTTGCACTGGGCAGTGGTGGTAGGATGTAGACACTTGCAAAAGTGGAGAGCTCCATGAAACCTCACCTGTTTGAAGTGGTTATGCTTCATGATATTATCAGGACAAACACTGCATTAGTACTAGATAAAAATGTTGAACTGGTTTCATCAACTGGTTTTTAATGTAGATCTTAAACTTCATTCCCATGTGCTGGGAGAAACATCTGCATGCTTGATCTTTCTCTTCCAGGGAAGGTTTTTTCTGTATGAATTATTTTTACTGCAGTGATCCATCTGTGACTGGTGTCCTTTTGAGGTTACCGTTTGCAGAGGCCTGAAACCTGGTGAACTGCAGTTGTCGTGGGACAACATAATTACAGCATAACAGTGAGCAGAGAGAAACTTTGCCTAGTGTGACTGAGCTTTCCAAATGGCATCAAGCAGAATTTGTACTTACCTAAGGGCATTGAAAAGCAGTGAAAATGTAGCTGCCATGACCTGGGACTCTACCTATATTCCACCACTTCTCAGCAGCACCATGAGGAGAAACCAAACAAGGAGGGAGGATTGATAATAACTGGCCAACAGCACTGATGAAATTTCACAGAACTAAAAGCTTTGAGTATTGGAAATGGCAGCAAGTGTTTTGGTGCTTTGAGAAAATAGGTGTCCACTGAAGCTGTAATACCACACAACTCCAGGCAGCTGCAAGTGCCAATTTCTGATTATCAAATCAGCCAAAGAACAGACTGTTCTCAGGAGAAAATCCCAAATAGTTCTCCCTTGTATTTATGTGCCCTGGCAGGGCTGTCTGGCCAGCTGCAGAAGCCCAAGCCTTGCTGTGGCAGTTGGATAGGTGAGAGTAGGAGAAAGTTACTTTGCCTGTGCTTCATCAGCTCACAGAGCAGTCCTTGTGCCCAAAAAATGCCCAAATAATACAGGAGGAAGCCCTCCATTTCCGAATGGCTGTGAAGAAAAGAGGGGATTAGTACAGGATCAGTCAGGCAGGAAGGGCCTCCAAATGTCTTCTATCCCATCTCTGGCTCAACAGTGAACTTGGGACAGGTTGCTGAATGTTGCTGACAACCTCCCAGCAGAGAGTTTCCACAGCTGCTGTGAGCAAACTGCTCCAATATCTGATTGTCCTCATCTGAAAGCGTCTCCTCTTCATATCCAATTGGAACTGTGTTCTGGGTTAGTGTGAGTTCTGAGCCCTTGGCTTTAGATTTGCAAACCAGCACCCCCAGCATCACACTCTGGCAGTGAATTGCTCTCATTTACACATGATTAGAGGGCTCCTAATGCAGGGCAGGCTGTTTGTTTCTGAGCATACACATATACCAGGGTTCCTCCACTTATCTTTGTCAGATCATCTGGCAGGGAAGCAATTCTTAAGGGGTTCCCTGCGCTGTGGGAATACAAATATGTGTTCTAGCCACTCTTGGAAACCACCAGCAAGATGTGATACTTCCACACGGATGTACAATTGGTAATGTAGCACTTGGAGGCCACTTTCCCACCACTGCTGCTGTTCTCTCTCTGTACCTTCCCTCTTTCAGCACTCATTCAAATCACAAACTTGCTGAAGAATGAGAGACCCAGCTCTATTCCCTAGAAAAATTAATCACTTTTCAGGGTTTATTCTTTTGGCTTCCTTTATTTAGACCAGTTTGCTTCTCCCCTGGGCCTGGACAATCAGCATTAGTGGGAGAACAGGATATGGGAGGGTATTTCCAAAATTTCTAGAACAAGTTGGTGTTCATTCTTATGGCAGAGGAAATGACAGCACAACTTACCATGGATAGTGGTACCAAGGAAGCAATCTGTGAGTCCTGGATAGATTTTGTCAAGATGAAGCTCTGCTGAGAGTTTAGGACAAAGAGTATCAGGCCAGGGGAGCCAGTGATGCTCACAGTGCTGGTCTGCTAGTGGGCCTGAGTAAGAACCTGCATTGCTCACCAAACTGGAGAACGCTCAGTGCCTCATCCACAGCCGCCCTTGAAGGTAAGTTGCCTGGTTTGGGAGTTTTTTGTGATTTGGTTGTTTGGATTTACTTTGGGGTTTTTTTTTTCTATTTAGTCAATGTGCAGAGCAGCAATTAGAAGTACTGCCTTTTCCTTGCTGGAGATGTACCAGCTGATCCCTTCCTTTATGTTCTCCATTCTCTATATCACCTGTCTTCCACAACCTCAGGGCTGCTCTGTGATTGCAGGACCTGCTGACCTCCTTCCACTTCACACAGAGATGCTTTTATTCCATCTTGTCCAGAACTCATCTCCTGGCAATCAGCTGAGCTTGCAGGCTGCAGCAGGAGTCTGCCACAGAGTGAACTGCAAAGTGTGGCCTTAGGAAGAGATGCTGTGTGTTTCTGAGCACTGCACAGGCCTATTCCCCTCTGGTTGCCTGCACAGCCTGGGACTTTGAACAGCAGCAGCTTTTTGACATCCCAGCTTGGGACAGAGGTACCACTTCCTGAGACAGGTCAGCAAAGGAACCAGCCCCCTGTGGTGTTACTTGCCTGTGACTTGCAGAGATGGGTCTTGGGATGCTGCAGCAGCAGCACCTTGATATCCTGATGTCAAAAGTCCCATTAAATGGCAAGATTCTACCACTAATTTTTTTCTTTTGTGTGGGGTTTTTTGGGGTTTTTTTTGGGTTTTTTTTTGGTTGGTGGTCTTGGTTTTGGCTAATTTTTTTAAATCCTTGCCAGGGTAACTAGTGCCTGACTCCTGTGGATAAGCCAGGAGCTGCAGGGTCAGGGCACACCTCGGGGTTGCTGCGCTGAGTGTCCAGTGTGGGGCCAGCGCTCAGCACACGCTCCAGCAGAGATCCCTGTCCCAGTGCCCCTCTGTGACTGCTCTGAGCAGTGTGGCCAGGACTGGCACTGATAGGTGTCACCACCCCAAACAACTCCACAGAGACTGGTAAGAACTGGGGCTTCTGAGCTGCTGGGGAACACCAGGAATCTGCAGGATTTAAGGCACAGAAGGTGGTGCAGGGGGGAGGCTGGGGGGCAAAGCTTTGGAACTGATTATTTAGTTCCAAATTTGAGTATCACTGGCTCCCCTGACCTGATACTGTTTACGTCCTAAACTCTCAGCAGAGCTTCATCTTGACAAAATCTATCCAAGACCCACAGATTGCTTCCCTGGTACCACTGTCCATGGTAAGTTGTGCTGTCATTTCCTTTGCCATGAGAATGAACACCAATTTGTTCAAGAAATTTTGGAAATACCCTCCCATATCCTGTTCTCACGCTAATGGTGATTGTCCAGGCCCAGGGGAGAAGCAAACTGGTCTAAATAAAGGAGGCAAACAGAATAAACCCTGAAAAGTGATGAATAAAGGGAATAGAGGTGAGTCTCTTATTGTTCAGCAAGTTTGTGATTTGAGTGGAGTGCAGAAAGAGGGAAGGCACAGAGATGTTCACATCTCTGAACAGATGAATGCCACTGGATGACCCAGTCTGTGGAGGTGAGGGGAATCCAAAACTTGTGCTTGCAGTGGGGTAGAAGGTGTATCAAGGAAAGGGCCTATCACAGAGAAGATATTTTGCAAGCTCCTGAAATTCAGTGGCACTGTGTCTAAGGGACCAGGTAGTTCTGTAAGGCCATTGTGATGCTTTTTCTGTATTGGTGTCAGAAAAGAATTAGACAGTACCTCCCACACATGCTGAGGGTGGAAAGCCTGAGGATGGAGTGTCTCACACAGTTCCCCTTTACTGAACTCAGCCCCAGGCAAGACTCTCCAAGGGGGATTGGTACCTGTGGTCAGTCGAGCAGATCTGTCTCTCCTTGTAGTGACAGCAGATGCCACACAGGAATTTAGTGCAGACATCAGCAAAGCCACATTATCACGCTGTGTGCTGCCACTCTCAGGGGCTCAGTGGGACAGAACCAGCTCAGGCACAGAGAACTCCATTCCACTGCAGGGAATGCTGCCCTGCAGGACAGAGAGGAAGGCGAGTCAGAAGCATCAGCAGCTTTGATCTCATAACTCTCCCATCAATTAATTAATTCTGTATTATTAATGTTACAGACGATATAACTCACATCAGCAACTTCATGGAATATTTCTTTTGACCTGTTAAGCATCTTTAAAGGTAAGACACATCTAAGTAAATATAATATACCATGTACATTTAAGTTGATGGTAAGCTCCCCAAATGTCAATTTGAATAACTGTGATTATCTTGCCTCAGTTACAGATTCTGTCCAATTTTTGACATGGATTGTCTATTTGTTATTTTAAAATTTTACTAAAGATACATTTTTAGTTAAGTACTGCAAGTTTAAGTGGCTATGTGGTATCTAAATTGCTGAATGAAATTATTCTGCTAATTTGATTTAGTACCAACTATCCCCTCTCCCCTGACATGTTAAAAAATTCCTTGCCTAACTTAATGATTGTGTTGATGATGAGGTGAGCTTGTAACTTTTTTGATAGAGTTCATCATTTTAGGTTGTTTATCTTTTCCATGTAAGTAGGAAAAGCCTTGAGAGATTATTTGCCTCATAGTAATCTTGGAGAGCAGGTTATAGTCCTGTCCTGCACAGTGCCAAGAGTGACCTGTGGCCCTGTGGCACTGCCACCACCCTCCCTGAGAGCAGGCACTGCTCCAGGCTGTTGGATCAGGCACAACTCTGCTTTAACTGTAGCTGAGCTTCTTGAACTCTGAGGTGAGGTGGTAAAATTGGTCACAGGACCAGAACACACTGGTACAATTCTGAAATGCTTTCCACTGACTGAGAGTGCTTTGTTTTCAGCTGGGTTTGGGTTTGTTTTTTTCTTTCCTTTCCACCTCACCAGCCACATCCTTTAGGGTAGATAAACTCTGAAGTGCTCATAAGGAAATGTGCTTTTTTAAATTGTTATTGTTCACTAAAACACATAAAAAAATGAAACATTTACAATATTTAGACGCTAACAAGACATTTCCTGTGTGCACCTGAGCAGCAACAGCCAAGGCCCCTGCCCCTACTGCAGCATGGGAAGTCCAGGTTTGCTGCTCTGTACTTGAGGGAGGGCTTGGCAACTGCTTCCTGGAGGATTGTGCCAGTGGGAAGCAGATGCCATCCTCCTCAGAGACAGCAAGATGAGGAAGCACAGACCTGCTGGGCTCTCTCTTCCACCTTTGCATTCCATCTCTGCTCCTTGCCCTCCTCATTCCACTTCCCAAGTCAGGAATGAGTCAGTAAGGCCCTTGCACCTTATGGTGGGACCATAAACCCACTTTTCCAGCAGAGAAGGCTTGAATGGCTGTGTTTGTTCGTAACACAAACATAAATGTACACAAATGGGGACCAAAACCCGATGGCTTTGCTATTTCCCTGCAGCTGGGGGACTGGCCATTCAGCACAGCCCTTGCTCCAGCACTGCCAGTTAACCTCGGGCAGATCCAGTTCCAATGCAGCCCAGCCCACAAGGATCTCCTGTAATCCACACCATAGCCTGGTATTCATTTCCAACACTCCTCCAGAGCCCTGCTGATCCCCACACTTCAGAAAGCACCTGGCAAAGCCGCCTCCCCAGCAGAGAGCAAACAGAACCTGGTGACAGGAGACACTGCTGGGATTAAATACCTGTGTGGGTATGCCAGTGCATTCCTGCTTCACACACTGCAATTTATGTTTGCAACTAGCACAATGCAAAGTGCAGGTCAGACATCACGTGGGCAGCAGATATTAGATTTTTACTGAGCCTGTGATGGGCACAGAGCTGTGTGAGTGATGGCTGTGAGTGACTTAAAGAGCTGCCATGACTGAGACTTTCCTTGCCATTCAAAAGCTTTTTGGTTGCCCCACTTACAGAGTTTTATCAGATTTCTCAACCTAAAAGAAAATCTGATTGATTTTATCCAGGTCTGAAGTTAGCTCAGCTCCAAGCAGGGAGTGACACTTGTTGACTTTGCCATGCAAATTTTCCTGAGGCTCTTAAGTGGTGATGATTGTGGAAAGGAGAGGAAAAGGACCAACAGGTAAGATTTAGACTTTTAATGTATTTAAATTGCAGTAACTATATTGATTATTTATTATATAACAATAATTTTGATAATTTTCCTTGCACTTTATAAAATTATGATCTATACCATAGTTGGAGCATGATAATCATGTGACAGTCAGAGGGCATTTATGAGGTGAAAGGAGAGAAGAACAAACCAGAGAGTTTTGCTCCCCAAGGTTTGACTTTGTATCAAAGGGCACAGTTTGGGCTTCGACCACCATAGTGGCTCAAGGTCCCAGGATGATTTTCTCTATAAAATTCAATTTATTAATCCAAATGCTGCCCAGACATTACTGTGGATGAGTAAGTGCTCAGTTCCTTAGCTGGCTGTGCACATCCCACTCATCCCTTTCTCCATCAGCTGTTGTGCAGCTTCTGGATCACCCCCAGCAGTTCCTGCTGAGGAGTTGGCTCCAGCAGCTCGTGTGTGATCCTGCCTGTGGACTGGGTGCTGTGTTTGCAACTCCTCTTTAGGGAATCTTCTTTGTGGGGTTAAAGGGTAGAAATATGCATTTTCTGGGCAGAAATGCTGGTGTTTCCTGTGTGCCCAAAGCCCCCAGGGAAACAGGCATGAGAGAAGACAAACAGGGATCTAAAAGAAACCATTCCTTTGTGCATGGAAACGGCGTGGCAGCAGAGTTTGGGGAAGTCTGCAGTGAAAGGAGAACCCACCGGCTGTTTCCCAATTAAAGGTTTGATTTTTTTCCTTATTCCCCATCTTTCACTGCCATCTACTGGCTCTGACTGAACGGCTTCTTGGTTGGCCCTGGAGTAAATCTTTAAGAGCTACAAGTTTTGACAAGGGACCCTCAGAGAGGACTTTGGGGATGGATTAACTGAGAAACATAACACTTATGGAATGGTAAACTCAGACCATAATTGGGAAGAAATAATGGATAAAGAAATGAGAAGATAAATCTGAAAAGTCAACCCTTAAGTACTGCATTTCAGCATTTTGAAAACAAGTAAGCTGGGGTTTGTTTGTTTGCATACTTATTTGGAAAGAAAGCTTTTGTTTGGAAAACAGCCCCCCAGAACCCTCCCAATGTTTCATTTTAAACAGGTCTATATAAAAGGGGCCAAAATGCATCTTGAGAGTCAATTAAATGTTTGTGGCCTTACCTGCATCCAGGATTAGCAAAATAGCTCCAAGAGGCACCTCAAAGCTCTCTCAGGTGAAAGAAAGCAACTGTTTGCTTGGACAAAAGTATCCTGCAGTTTATTTCTCTCCAAATGTGCTGTCAGGGAATAACATCCTGCAGGTATTGGCTGTTTGGCTGTTTCATGGCTCCAGGAAACTGCAGGTAATAGTAGAACTATCAGTGTCCTGTAAATGATCAGTTGGATATTGAGTCAGGCAAAAGTCAGTCATTCATTCATTCAAAAAAATCAATCATTCCTCAAAATCTTTGACTTTGCTGTTGATATGAGAAGGATCTTTATCATGGTTGGGCCCTGACAAATGTCCTCTTCTCTCCTCTTACACACAGCTTCTGGGCAAGCCCACCTGCTCCTGCTCTCAGAACAGGAAAGGAGAGAAGGCACCAAGTCCAGCCCTCCCGTGTTGCTGCAACATGGCCCAGTATTGAGCCACTCAGATGCCAGCAGGTCTCCCTCTGCCAGGAACAGAGCAGTGACCTCCTCTGGGTAGGTACCATGTGGGCCGGGACTACTTTTTTTATTCCAGTACATCCTTTCCCAAGGAAAGCACTAGAGCCGAGCATTGGATGACACCTATGTGGAACAGATCCTTCCCCTCCTTTGTCCAAAGTCCAATGGCAAAGCATGGAATGACTCACAAGCAGGGCCTGAAATGAAAATGGGTCTGTTAAAATTAGGCAAAGAATGCATTGAGAAAAAATGGGCATCCTTTTGTGTATGGAAAAAGTAGAAGGCAAGAGTTGAAAAATGGCACTTTTATTTGGCGCCACATCTCATTTTTTATGGATAAAACCCCATAGTGAGCAATCAGAACAGAAGTGGGAAACCCAGGAGCCTTTGCCTTCCACAGTGGACTTAATTTCCATTTTCTCTTCTCTTTCAGGACAGGAAAAAACACTTAACTCATCCCATCTTTGCCCAGAGCCTTGGTGTTTGAGCAGCCAAACCCAACAAGCTCCAGAACTGCTGGTCCTGCCCATGGTGTGGGGTGAGTCCCCAGCTGTCCCCAGAGTGCCCCAAATGCAGAGGGATCGGCCCTGCCCAGCTGTTGCCCACCAGGCTGGCTAGGAGAGATCTGCCTTGGCTTTACAGGGAATGTTTGCAGTGACTCAGGAGATTCCAGCAGCCTCGTGTGTCCCGGCGCTTCCCGGGCAGCCGAGCTGCTCTCCCGCCCCTCCTGCTCCCAAGCCCCGCCGAGCTGAGGGCAATTTGTCCTGCCAGCAGCAGGGGAAGGACCCTGGGGCTTGGATTGTCCCTCTGGGGGATGTTGGGATTTCCATCATTCCATGCATTTGGCTGCTGGAATTTCCCAGCCCAGGGGCTTTAGCTGACAGGGCAGCACAGGGATTGTTCTCGGTGTGGCACCCAGATCTCAGGGTCAGTATCAGCTTTGCTGGTTCAGATGAATTATACCCACAGCCCCAAATTCCCTGCTGAATTCCTGCTGGAATAACCCAACAGTGCCTTGTGGAGTCTGGACATTCCCATGCAGAGCTGCCGTGGAACAGCAGCTGTGGCAGGAACCAGCAGAGGTTCCAGGACAAGGACAGGTTTGTATTCCATAGAATTTGCTGTTTATAAACCTCATCCCCCAGCCCCACTGATGTCCCTGGGGGACACTTGACAGAGTTCCCTGGAATTCAGCTGATTTCATCCCCCTGAGCTCGGGCTCCAGTTGAAATTTTAAAGCAGGAGAAGGTGATGGCTCCTGGCCCGTGCTGAGGCAGCCCCTGTGCCCAGGGGAGGACATCTCTCCCTGCAGGAGCTGACTCCATCTCAGAGCCTCAGGAGTGCCTCTGCAGGTTCTTTTCCCTCAGGAAAGGGATGCACATCCCTGCTTCCAGCACACCTCCAGTGGGACCCACCTGTGAGTTTTCCATCAGTTCTGTGGTTCCAGCTGGCTCCCTGGAACACTCCAAACTTCATCCAAACAAAACCTCACCTGACTCTAACCTTTTATTTACAGGCCTCCCTGAGGGCATTGCTTGGGGTTTCATTTCTGGGGGGAAGATCCCCCTGGCTTTAACGCTGCTGAGGGATGATGTCCCTGGCTGGGAGGGAAGGGGTTTGGGGGGCTGGGACACACCTGGGGGTGTGCAGGAGCTCCGGGAGGTCGGCACCGGGAATTGCTGCCTGAGCCCCTCCTCAAACGCACCGCGCTGACATTCCCAGGTAAAGCCAGATGTTCCAGCTGTTCCTCGGTAATTTGGGGCTGCGGGCGGGGTCTGTCCGGGCTGAAGCAGCTCCGGAGCCCGTCAGAGCAGCCCCTGGCCGAGGAGCCGCGGGCAGCCCTCGATCCACGTCCATCCCAGCGCTGCCCATCCCCGGGATGCGGGTGTGGCGGGACACTGAGGCACAGCTCCTCCCCTGCAAACACCGAGGGCAGGAGGTGCTGGGTCCCTTCCTGGGCTCCCGGCCTCCTCCTGCCCCGCATTCCCAGCCAGCTGGGACCACTGAGGAAACACCAAGGAACATTCCCACCTGGGAGTGGGAGTCACCAAGGGCTCCGTGCAGCTCCGGGCCAGGAAAGTGGCCCCAGCCCCAGCACCTGCAGGGATTTTGGGCTGTGAACACTCACCTGCAGGGATTTTGGGCTGTGAACACTCACCTGCAGGAAACGCCCCTCTGCAGGTGGGACCAGCCCTGACACTCTCCTGAAGAACTCTGGCCACGGACCAAGTGAACCCTCAGGGCTTGTCCTGCTCATTTCTCCTTGGAAAGGGACATGGAATGAGCACCTTTACAGCTGGTGGTAAATCCTGGAAAGAGCAGGAAACCAAGGTTATTGAAGAGTCTGGTGCTGTCCTGTGAGACACCAGCCAGTCCTGCTCTAGAGCCAGTCTAGGGGCTGGTGTGCAGAGCAGGACTAGCAGGAAGGAAGGAGCCACATTGACATAGGAATTCCCTTGCTGGCAGCAGCCACCTCATCCCAGGCAGGACCTTCCTCATGAGCCTGAGGTTGCTCAGGTGCTTGGAGCAGGGTGCTGACAAGGCCAAGATGCTGAATTCAGTCCCCACGTGGGCCAATCGCTCATCACCGTTTGACTCGATGATCCTCGGGGCCCTTTCCAACTCGGAACCTCCTGTGCTCTGAAAATAAAGAACAAACACCTTTCACCGGCTTTTTAAACCCCCGTGTTCTTCCACTGGGGGGTGCGAGCCACAGAGGAAGGGGGACGGGAGGGAGAGCATCGAGTCTCCCCCGGCAGGTGTCGGGTGAGTGGCTGGAGCAGGACCGAGCCCGGCGGGGCCCCGGTCCCGCACCGGGCGCGGTCCGGACTCGGCCCCAGCGCCCGCCCCGGAGCGGCTCCTCCCGCCCGCGGCGCTCCAGCCCCGCTCGTTCGGCGGAGCCCCCGGGGCTCGGGCCCGGGGCAGGGGCAGGAGGGCGCCGCTCCGCCCGGGGGGGTGCGGTGACCTCGGGCTCCGGGGCGGCTCCGCATCCCCGGGGCGCGGCGGGGCCGGGGCCGCACCGGGGGCGCTGCCGCCGCTCCGCGCCCGCCCGGCGGCGCCCCGGGGCCGGTGCCGCGGGTCCGCTTCCAGCCGCGATCCAGCGCCGCTCCGGGGAACGCCGCCTTCCTCCCGGGCCCGGCAGCGGCACGGCCCCGGCTCCCGGCGCCCATCCCGGAGCCGCGGTGGGACCCCAGCCCCGCACCGGCCGGAGCGGGAGCAAAGCGGCAGCGCCGGGCTCGGTCCCGGCGCCCGTCCCGGAGCAGCTCCTCCCGCCCGCCGCGATCCCAGTCCCCCGTCCCAGCCCAAATCCCGCATCCTGCCCGCTGAGGAGAAGCGGCTCCGCCCGGGACCCCCGGCAGACACCGGCAGGACCCGGATCCAGATCTCCGGGCCCCGATGCCGGTGCCGGCCCCACCTCAGCGCCCCGAGCTCCGCGCAGCGCTCCGAGCGGCGCTCCCGCCGCGCCCTGGGCCGATCATTCCCGCATGGAGCGGAGCGGGCGCGGATCCGCCGGGATTTATGGGCGGGGCCGGCCCGGCACAGGTGTGAGGGGCGGGGCCGCACAGGTGTGAGGGGCGGGGCCGCACAGGTGTGAGGGGCGGGGCCGCACAGGTGTGAGGGGCGGGGCCGCACAGGTGCGCGGGGCCCCAGAGCGCCTGCGCGGGGCGGGGCTGAGGGGATTTAAACCGCGGCGGGGGCCGGCGGAGCCATTTGCTCCTCGGCGCTCGGGGCGGGTGGTTGCGGTCGGGCCGGGCTCTATATCTCTTTTCCTCTATATTTCTTTTACGTTTATTTTCTTTTGTATTTCTTTTTCTTTATACCTCTCTTTTCTCCCCTCCCTTCCTCCCCTCCCCCACCCCCTACACCCTCCCCCCCCCCGCCCCCCCCCTCCCTCTCCCCCCTAGCCCTCCCCTCCCTCCCCCCCCGGCCGGGTCCCCCCTACCCCCCATCCCCCTACACACCCCAACCCTACCGCACCCCTCCGTCCTCTCCTGCCTCCCTTCCTTCTCCCCCACCGTGGTTCCTCCTGGTACCTCTCCATGATACCTTTCCCCCAAAACCGCCTTCAATCCTTCCCCTCCTTCTTCCCTGCTGCCATTCCCCGAGCCCCCTCCCCTGGTGCCCTGCACACCCCGACTTCCCCCCACCTGCCCCCTGTCCTTGTCACCGTCCCCTTGACCGCCCCCTCCGCTCCCCTGTTCTCATCCTCCATCCCCCGCTCTCTCTCGTTCTGTCCCGCAGCCGCGGGGTTGGGGGTGCCGGAGAATAAAGCCCAGAGGGCCGGAGCCCGGCGCCCCCCGCCCTCGCTGGAGTCCCCCCGACACGGGGCCGGACCCGCCCGGCGGGTCCCCCCATTGCAGTGTAATACACGGCCCGACACTGCCGGGGTGCGGCTGTCCCGACATCACACTGGGGGGTCGGGCTGGGGTCAGGGAGGGCCGGGGGGAGTGGGGTGGGGGTGGGTTAGGGGGGGCTCCCTCCTTAGGAGGGGGTCCCGGGGGGGGGGGGGTTAGGAAGGGCCCCCTCCGGAGGGGGGGGCCCCGGGGGGGTCGGGGTGGGCCCCCTCCGGAGGAGGGGGGGGGCGGAGGGGGGCGTTCCCCCCTCCAGGCCCCGCCCCCTCTCCCGGACCCCCTCCTCCGGACGGGGCTCGGCCCGGCCCCGCCCGGGGACCCTCCTCCGGACCGGGGCCCGGGGGGGGGAGGGTGGGTGGGGGGGAGGGAGGGAGAGATGGTGTGTGCGTTCGTTTGCGATTTCTGTCCGCGCACAGAGTGACGTGACCCCCCCTCTGCTCCCCCTCCCACCCCCCCCCCCCCCCGGGCCCCGGTCCGGAGGAGGGTCCCCGGGCGGGGCCGGGCCGAGCCCCTTCCGGAGGAGGGGGTCCGGGAGAGGGGGCGGGGCCTGGAGGGGGGAACGCCCCCCTCCGCCCCCCCCCTCCCCCGGACCCCCTCCTCCGGAGGGGGCCCACCCCGACCCCCCCGGGGCCCCCCCCCCCGGAGGGGGCCCTTCCTAACCCCCCCCCCCCCCCGGACCCCCTCCTAGGGAGGGAGCCCCCCCTAACCCACCCCCACCCCACTCCCCCCGGCCCTCCCTGACCCCAGCCCGACCCCCCAGTGTGATGTCGGGACAGCCGCACCCCGGCAGTGTCGGGCCGTGTGTTACACTGCAATGGGGGGACCCGCCGGGCGGGTCCGGCCCCGTGTCGGGGGGACTCCAGCGAGGGCGGGGGGCGCCGGGCTCCGGCCCTCTGGGCTTTATTCTCCGGCACCCCCAACCCCGCGGCTGCGGGAGAGAACGAGAGAGAAGGAAGGGGAGAGAGGAGATGGGGGGTGAGGAGAGGTAGAGAGGGGGGTCGGGGGTGAGGACAGCAACGGGAGGGGAAAGGGCAGGTGGGGGAAGAGGGAGAGTGGACAGGGGAGGAAAGGGGAATAGAAGGGGATAGCGGGGTACGGACAGGAGAGGAAGGAGTGGGGGAGTCGGGTTTGGGGAGAGAGGAGGGAAGGTTTTCGGGGGGAGAGGAAAGGGGGAGAAAGAAAGGGAACACGGGGAGAAGGAAGGAGGGGTAGAGAGGAGGACAGGAGGTGAGACCGAAGCCCCCGAGCCTCACCCGCCGAACCCGCACGGGAGCTCCGCTCGCACCGCGCTCTGAGTGAGCAAATGGCGGCCGAAGGGATTGCCGGGACTTAAATAACCTCGGCCCCGCCTCGCGCAGCCGCCCTGGGGCCCCGCGCACCTGAGCCCCGGCCCGGCACACCTGAGCTCCGGCCCCGCCCACCGAGCCCCGGCCCCGCCCCACCGAGCCCCGCCCCACCGAGCCCCGGCCCCGCCCCACCGAGCCCCGCCCTGCCGGGCCCGGGTCCCGCCCGCCGCCGCGTTCCCGCCCCTCACGGCGGGGCCGAACCGGGTCGGGACCTTCGGGCCCGGGTCCTGCCCGTGGCCGCGGGGTCCCGGGGCCGAGCACCGGGCGGGGTCGGCGCCGGGACGGGCCCGGGCTCGCCCCGCCGGGCCCGCAGAGCCGGGGCAGTGTGTGTGAATTCCTCATCCAGCCTGGGCAGAAAATCCTCACGGAGAAACCCCGGAAATAAAGGATATGGGGCCGGGCCGGGGGTCGGGGCGCGGGCAGTGTTCTGCTCTAAATGAAAAACCCCTCGGGAAAAATAAACCCGTGGGACAGCTCATTTCCAGCCCTGGACCGGCTTCTGTGTGACCGCCTGCGGTTCCAGCTGCTCCACGGGACTTTAAGCCTCTGGGTCTCTAATGAAGTGTCAGGGGCTGAGCACGACAGGAAATAATGGGAAAACTCTCGGGATCAGGCAGTGTCCCAAAGAGCTGGCGGTGCCCAGCATTCCTGGCTGGAATTTGGGCATCCCAGCAGGGACCTTCCATAGTGTCCCCATGGAGCTGACACTGTCCAGCATCCCTGCCCAGGGTTTGGGGGTTCCAGCACAGCCCCCCAGCACATCCCGCTGCTTCCTCAAGTCCCCTTTAACCGGGATCATTTTTTGGGCTGGGGGCACCCAAACCCAGCAGAATTTGCTTTCACCAGCTTTGGGGGATCTCCCCTCTCCCCTCCTCACAGAATTCCTGCTCCCAAATCCCAGCCTGAGGCTCAGCTCCCCTTCCCTCAATCCCTCTGAGGGACTGGACTCGGATTTCCCAATCCAGCAGGGCAGCGGCGCTGTTTCTCCTCACTGTGTATCCTGATTGCAGGAACTGCTTAAGGAATAATTCAAAGAAATTCAGAGAATGAAGAGACACCAAGGAAGAGCTGCCAGCTCCAACCAAGGGCTGCTCAAACCCCTTCTCAATTATTTGCTTTAATTAACCAATGCAAATGAACCAGTCTGGGCCACATTGATATGGTTTTATTCTTTTTAATGAAATTATAAACACTGCAGAATATAAAAGAACACTTTGAACCCCAAAACTCTTCTAGGAGATAGACAGGGCAGGGCTGCACTGCACCCCCAAAGTGAGGATTGGGAGAACCGGGAGAAAAGAAAATGCAGACTGAGATTCCTGGGAGATTGGTGCAGCTTCTGCCAGCCAGAACAATCCTGGGTCTGAGCACGCCTGCGGGATGTCATCAATGTCCTCCTGGGCCTTTTTGTTAAAAGCAACTTCCACAGAGAATTCATGAAAAGCAGAAAATTAAATGGGAACGGAAAGGAGCAGCTCCCCCAGCCCGTCAGGCTGCAGCATCCGAAAGAAAACGAGCAGAAAGATTATGGATTACGGATTGGGACCATCCCAAATCCCGAATTCCCGGCGTGGAATGCCACTCTGCTTTGCTCTGTAAATCACCGCCTCTCTCGCTGGACAAACCCTTCAGCTTTGCTCCCAATTCAGCGAGTTCCCAGCTGTGGCCGCCGGGATTCTCCGCAGCGTGTCCGGGCGGGATGCGGGGGGAGCGGCGGGGAATTGCCGGGGGAGCTGCCCGGGAGCTCCCGGCCCTGCCCCGGGCCCGCAGCCCAGCGGGAATCTCTGCCCGCGGCTCTGGAAGTTAAACAGGAGCTTTGCCAAAAGACCGGCAGGAAAACTCACATCCCCAGCAGAGATAAAAACAGAGGGGAAAATGCAGCTCGAGGTGATGAAAAGAGAAGGGAATGATCGGAACCATTTGAAATGGGTAAGAGGAAATGGCCTGAGGTGATCCCAGGGGAGGTTTAGGCTGGATATTGGGAAGTCTCACACTGGAAAGGCTGTCCAGCCCTGGCACAGCTGCTCAGGGCACTGGAGGGATTTAAAGCCGTGTGGATGTGGCACTTGGGGACGTGGGACAGTGGTGGCCTCAGCAGCACTGGGGAACGGTTGGGCACCGAGATCTCACAGGGCTCCTCCAACCCGAAGGATTCCATGGTTCCAAGGACACCCTGAACCTGCCAGCACAGACACACCTGTGCCTGCTGCAAGCATCATTTCCCTTCCTCTCCTTGGCTTGGCTGCCAAATATCCCTGGCTACGGGGAACACGGGAGCAGTCCTTGCTGTGGGAGAGGCCAGCAGGATCAGATCAATTCCCTTCAGCAAGAGCTGACAGGATCCAGCCAGTCTGTCCCCAGCTGCTTGGGAAGCTCCCGGCCCCTTCCAGCAGCAAGAGAGGGAAATCACCTCGTGCTGAGGGACAGTGACACGAGAGCTGTGGGGAGAGAGTGGCAGAGCTTTCCAAAGGGAACTGCCTGATCAACCTCCAGGACCTGTGGAAAACATTTCCAGCTGAGCTGTGAGTCCATCTACTCCTGTCTCCCACTCACTGACCTTTCAGCCATGGCCAGGAGCTGCTCTGGATGGAGGGTCCCCTTTGTGTCCATGGATGTGGCTTTTCCCTCACTGCCCCTGTGGTCTGTGGAGAGCCAAAGGGGAAGAAAAGGATTGAACAGGGAATAAAGTATCCATAAATACAGCAGATATGGCCACATGCCCTCACTGAGGTCATATAACAAATAATATCTCAAGCTATTGTGATTAAAGTCCCTTTTAGCTGGGAAAAGCAAGAGGAAACATTCCTGGTCCCCATCTCTGACTCCTTCCCTTTGCAGTACCTGTCACCCTGGAGTGCCAGGACAATGGGGAATGGCTTCCCACTGCCAGAAAGCAGGGATAGATGGCATCTTGGGAGGAAATTCTTTCCTGTGAGGGCGCTGAGGCCCTGGCACAGGGTGCCCTGAGAAGCTGTGGCTGCCCCTGGATCCCTGGCAGTGTCCAAGGCCAGGCTGGACAACCTGGGATAGTGGAAGGTGTCCTCTGCTCATGGAACTGGATGGGCTTTAATGTCCCTTCCCATCCAAACCATTCCAGGATTCCATGATTCTACACAAGAGGACGGTGCTCAGCTTTGAGCTGGGAAGTTTAGGGAGTCAACTAAATGACCAAACTAAGTCCAAGCCACAAATGTTTTAGGAATAGCAGCCTCTAGACAGTAATAAACACTTCAAAAGTCAAGGGAGGTGCCCAAATTAGCAAATAGCCCCAGGCTGTGGTGTCTGAATATTGGATTGCAATGAGGTGAACCACCCACCTGACCAGTGACTGCCAGGCTGGGACACTGCTGTGTCTTCCCAGTATGGAATTCCCCAAATAATTCTGTTATGGATCCTGTTTCTATTTCTCCTGAAGGGAAAATGATAATAATAATTATTAATAAAAATTAAAAGGTCACATGTTACAGATATCTATATATGTATCTATCCACTTATAAAATATTACATGTATAGAGACTCAAACACGGAACTTCGATGAAAGTTTCAAAACTAAGAGGGAAAACTGCTTTTCACCCTGAGATCTGTTCATGCCATGTATAAGAAGTCCAGGTGTGTTTCTAAAGATGCTGAAGAGATGAAATTACTTGTTTTCATTCTTGGATTACCAGAGGAATGGGGAGATGGTGATGCCTGGTTTTCCTTTCCCTAAACACATAATGGTGTTAAATAAACCAGAAATATCCAAAAATGGGCAGCTCTGAGTCTTGCATCATGACTAAAAGGGGTTAAGAAGTATTTCTGCAGCTTTTAAAATAAAAGCAAATTTTTCAGGAGCAGTTCTAGAGGTTTTCCCATCCTTGGAGCAAGCTGGGATAGTGGAAGGCATCCCTGCCCATGGCAGGGGTAGAGCAGGATGAGCTTTTCAGGTCCCTTCCACCCCAAACCATTCCAGCATCCCACGGCTCCAGCTCCAGTGGGGGCATTCCCTGCCCGGGTCCCCTCAGGGTGCCCAATTCCAGCCCCTGTTCCTGCCCTCAGTGCCCAATTCCAGCCCCTGTTCCTGCCCTCAGGCCCCAGCCGTGTCCCAGCCCTCGGCCCGAGCTGCCTCCCCAGCTCTCCCCTGCAGATCCCTGGGGCTGTGCCGGCCCTTTCCGAGCCCTGCCCTGAGCTGACACCTTTGCTCTGCCCCATGGGCTGCCCAGGATCGCTCCTGCAGGAATATCCCCCGCTGGAAACTGGCAGGGACCCTGGGTTGGGGTTTTGGAAGGAGATGGGGATTTTGCACCTACTGCAAGTGCTTGAGGGACTGCACACGTTTGGAGAAAACGCTGATTTGTGCCCAGGGCTGCCTAAACACCCATCCTGCAGAATTCCAGGGCTTCTTCCTTCTTTCTCCACTGCCACTCGGTTAAACTGGAACCTCTGGGAGAAGGAAGGCTCCCGTGGAGAGCTGGAGGTTTGCAGGAAGAGCAGAGCTCATCTAATCCCACCTGAGCTCTGGTTCCTCAGCTCCTCCACGCAGATCCCCCGAAGAGCCAGAGCTGGCACCCGGAGCAGCGGGAGCCGGGGCTGGCAGGACTCTGTGGCTGCTCCTCGGGGCTCAGCCCTGCCTGCAGCTGGGACAGCCAGGGATGGACACGGCGCTGGCAGGATTCACTCAGCAGCTCCAATGGCCTCCTGCTCCTCGGGGTGTCCCGAGGTGCCCTCACAGCCCAGAACAAACACCCGAGCTGGGAGCCACCGTCCCACGGATCCCTGCCTTTGGGGGAGCCCATCTCCCACCTCTGAGAGCAAATGTGTTTTCTGTCCCTCCTTTGCAGACCCTGAAGGACGAAGCTCTGGCGAGCAGGAGGAGTCTGGAGCCACGTTAGCACAGGAGATGGCAAAGGAAACGTGGGAACAGGGACACTGCACAGCCCGCAGGCAGGGAGCAAGGGGCTCCTCCCTGAGCAGGCATTTAATGCATCCTCTGGCCATTTCTCCAAGTGACACCTGCTGTGCACAAAGACAAGGTGGCCAAAAGCAAATCTCCATCCCCGGGCCAGCACCGATGTCCTCTGACCTGAGGCGGCTCTGCCGAGTCCAGCTCTGCTCCTCCCCATCCCACCTGGGTTATTTTCCAGCTGCCCCCTGGTCCCCTTGGCAAGGACAGCCAGGCCCAGCAGCTCTGTGCTTGCAGGGGGATGCATTCAGCTCCGTGCCTGGGCTGCCCACTCTGTGCATCCTCCTGGGAAGCGCAGCAGGCCCAGGGAGGAGAGGGAGGCAGAGCAGAGCAAAGGGCCGGCAGGGCCCCGCAGCACCGGGACAAACGGGGAGCACGGGGGGCTCGATGGAGGCGGGGGGACACCTCTGGCAGAGCTCTCGGAGCGAGTTTGGTTCGCCTTTCCCTGAGCCCCTCATTGCCGTGGTGCTGCTCTCAACACCCATTTCTGCCGTGCCTTCTGCAGGCAGGGGGATGGAGCCTTCCCAAGGGCGATGCTCTCACAAGGTGTCCTGCTCTGCCCCTCCTGGCACAGGGAATGCTGACCCTCCCAGCAGGACCCCGAGCCAGGCCGAGTTCGTCGACTGCTCCCAGGAAACCAAACGGGCTTTGAAGCTCTTGGTGAGACACGGAGCAGTTTCCATCCCATACACTGGGCTTGTCCCAGGGTATCCCAGCAGCGAGTGCTCAGAGGGAAATGAGAGCAGAAAACACTGCCAAGGGAGAACGGAGTGAATTCCAGGTTGTTCAGAAACCAGGATGAACGCTGTGTCAGGCTTGTGCAGGTTTCCTGGGACAAGCTGTTAAACCAAAACTAGAAACATCCAGTCCAGGATGGGACAGAGCAGCCAGAGGGTTGCAACGCCTGAGTCTTTTCAGATCCAGGCCTGGGAAGTCTCTGCTTGACAGCAGCTGAAGTTCCTCCTTGCCCTGATATTCCTGGCTCCTGTCTTTCTCCCCTGCCAGACCCTCTGGATTGTGGAGAGGATGAAAAGCAGGAGCACAAAGATGTTCCCAGTTCATCAGGAATTAGAAATGGACGCAAAATAAAATGGAATGATGCCTATGCCCTACACCACAAACTCTTCTCATCAGTCTGCAACACTCCCCCTGTGTGACAGAAAAGAGGAGACACACTCGGGGTAGGCTTAAACTGTGTTTCCTTTCTCTTTCCAGGGCAAACTAAGGAAGCACATACAGAATCCCCACACTTTGGAGTTGGTGCCATTTCCTATTCAGGCCACTGGAACTGGGAAATCTTATTCCCAGGTCTCATGAGGAGAAGCAGCTTGAAGCAAACACAGGAACCCCAGCAAATCTGAATCTTTCCACCCAATCAATAAAACCTTACCATGAATATCAAAACCTGAGCCTCCAGAGCTTTTTTTATCAGGAGTTACATCCCTGGATTTGTTCATTTCCTAATATTATCTCTCCCCAACAAAGCACTGGGCATCCACAGAATATAAAAATGGGTGTGCTAACCACTGGTTACCCCTCTGGAATGTCAGGGCTTGGAAAGAAGGGCAGTTGGGGCTTTTCCTGGTGGTACCTGTGAGGTGCATTTTACCTAAGAACCCCTTGCCACATCTTCCCCCGAATCCACCAAAAATCCACCTGTGCATTCCCCAGCTGCTTCCTCCCTCTTTGCCTTTATCCAACAGAATTTTAACAGGCGAATATTCCCCTCTGATACAGCACCTTTAATTCCAAACCTAACAGCAAACAAGTAATTTCCTCTGACATTCATTATCAGGATTTCACCAAGAGCTGGTGGGTGGAAAATGATCCTCTCCTGGCCCCTGCTGGATTCCCGGAGCAGGGATTCTTTCCCTCTTTCCCCTGCCCCTTTTCAGGCTTTGTTCCATGGCTTTTGCTTCCAATCCTTGGATCCTTTCCCTCTCTCCAGGAGCTCCCAGCAGTCCCACAACCTCTTTTCTCCCATCCTGATCATTTCTCCAGGAATGGATCTGTGCATTTCAATTCCCTTCCCTTTCCTCCAACAATTCCCAGCAATTCAGACCTAAAGCTGACACAAGGAGCACTCAGTGCTCAACAAAACAAATCAAAATACAGGCCTTGCCACCCCTAAAACAGCAACTCCAAACACACAATCCTGGGAAATCTGCATTAATTCCAACCCCAATTCAGGCCCCACAGCTCAGGCTGCAGCACAAAGTCAGTGCAACCAGTGACCCACAGGAGCTGTGGGATGTTCTGCTGCTCCTGCAGTGGCATTGATGGCTGAGCAGGGCACAACAAGGCCAGAGCAGGCAGGACTGGAGAATCAACACCAAGCAGTGACCCCTGTGCTTGGCAGGGCCTGGGGCATCCCAGTCCAGGCTCTGGGCTTCTTTCCCCTTTTTTTCACTGCAATTAACCTGGCAGGGGCACTTTGGAATCCATCCCGACACTGAGACATTTCCTGATACGAGCCCCTGTATAAATGGGGAGCACAGAAAAACTCACTGCCACATTCAGACACCCTTCAGCAAAGCATTGGAAAAGCAAAGTGGTGTGGGATTACCTGGAGCTCCAGGGGACTGAGGGGAAGGTGGACAAGAAGCAGCCAGCAAAGAGCTGCCACTGCTTCTCCCTCCAGCCACTGCCAAGCTCAACAAGCCAACAAAAGACAGGCCAAGGTTTACTTCAGACTTTTCCAGAGCTGCACTTGCCTTGATCCTTTGGGCACAAGGAGCCTTCCAGACTGTCCCACACCTTCACACCCCACTGGCTTGTTTTGGAAAAGCTCACTGTCCCTTATTCCCAGCTGGAAAAGTCCACTGTCCCTTCCAAAAAGATCTCTCTGCGGTCTCTTTCTGAAGCCAGAACATCTCCAGCTTTGCTTTCCCCTTAAATGCTCTGCTCCTTGCACAAGCAAGTGCCAGCCAAGGAATCCAAGCCCAGAGCCCGCCCGGGAAGAAGGAACATGCGTGCCACAGGAAGAGTGTGAAAAATGCACATTAAATTAAATTATTGGCTCTTTGCAAATATAAAATTGAATACTGTATTTGTTACATTGGAAGGTTATTTTGTAGTATTGTAGTAATCCTTTTTAAGCAGTGTAGTAGATATAGTTTTAGGTTATAACATAATACTATAATAGAAACTGTGCAATGTAAGACTTTTTTTTAACTAGCTCAAGAAAGGGGTGAGACAATCAAGAAATTCTTCGCACAGAGATAACAGCAACACGACACCCAAGAGTTACAGCCTCCTTATCAGGCAAAACAAATATCCCCCCACCTCCTCTCTGTCCTTAAGGAGCCACCAGCATTAAGGGGAAGAAGCTGACGATAACCAGAGAACAGCCTCGGTTTGAAAAGAATTTCCCGTGTGCCCATCCCGTGTGCCCATTCCCATCCCGTGTCCCCATCCCGTGTGCCCATTCCCATCCCGTGTACCCATCCCGTGTCCCCATTCCCATCCCGTGTCCCCATCCCGGCTCCTTCCAGCACCCCATTTCCTCCCTACCCAAGGCGCATGCGTAAATTACCGCCATCTTTGGAAGGTCAAATTACGGCAGCGCAGATACGCCATCTTAGGTGAGGCATGACGAAACTTCCTGTTCCGCCCGCCATCTTGGGTGCTGGCAGAAGTCACTTCCTGTTGAGACGCCATCTTTGGTGCGGCACGAGGTGACTTTCCTGCTCGTGCCATCACACCGAGTACTGGCAGGAGTCATTTTCGGATGAGACGCTGTATTTAGTGTGTCATCACTTGACGTGTGTGTGTGTGTGTGTATATTTGTGTGTGTTTATATGCATGCATGTATGTATGGGTGGGTCCGCCATCTTTTATGCTGGCAAAAGTAAGTGCAAAGTGACACGCCATCTTTGGTGTGGCATCGCGTGAGCACACGTGTTATTCCGCCATCTTCGCTACTGGCGGAAGTGACTGCCAAACGAGACGCTACGTTTGGTTCGGCACCATTTGACTCCATCCCTCTTGTGCTGGCAGAAGCCACTTCCGGCATCGCCATCACCATCATCACCTTGTTTCCCAATTTCATCTCTTTCAGCTCTGGCCCAGAATCAGGTTTTTCACAGATCACGGCCAGCCAGGTACTCAGCATTAATGAGCTCAGAAGTTTTTCCTGTGTTTTGCAACACTGAAATCCTTGTGGCAAGTCCTTTAAATCCTTCCATCTGGAAAAGATCCACAATTTAAGTTCCTCGAGTTTGAAACACATCCTCTTTGTGGTAGAGTGAGTTCAATCTAGCAGTTCCCAGGTCAATGCCAAGCCCAGGGTTATTTTGGGATGAATTGTTTGTCATTTCCTACAATAGAGCAAATATATGTAGACCACCATACATCCACTTAACATATCCAGCCGGATCCTTTGACAAGTTTTGAAGTATTTTGTTAATTTATTTCACCTAAAATTCTCGCCTAGCATGCTCTCAGTTCACAGACTTCTCTCATAAATTGTCCACCGCAAGTTTTATTTCCCAGGCTCATCTTGGTGTTCCTCAGAGAGGGCTGAGAGGTGCTGGCAGAGCCACGTGGAAATCGAGGAGCAGTGACAGGAATTGTCCTCTCCTCTGCTGGAACTTTGTTACCTCGTCCCACATCGCCTCCCACGGCTCCAACGGGAAAGATTTTTTATTCTTTACCTGTCCCTGACGTCTCACTCCGAAGCCTCCTGCTTGGTGGAGAAGCATTTTGCATTTGACTGCTGGGCCCTGCAGATACTTAACCTAGAAACCATTTCGGTTACTTTTAGATTAAATAAATCACAATACTTCCCATTAAAGTCAGTGTCAGGTTTGGGGCTTTCCTCCTTAATGAAAGTCTTCAAAAAAAAAAACAAAAACCAAAAAACCCAACCTTTAAACAACTCAGTAGATTCTGTAAAACTTCCTCCATTCTAATATTAAAGATGTTCTTTGAGAAGCAGCTCTTGACAATATAAAATGTAATATATATTACACGCTATCCTGTTTACTGTAAAGAAAAATAATTCAGAATTATTATATACATATAAAAATTATATATTAGTATATCTAATATATATTATATAAGAGAACTTATAATATATAATTATATATTATAATATATATTATATATATAATGTATAATATACATTATATATTATATACACAAATAGCTGCGTATTTGTATGTTATTTGAAAAAAATTCAGTACATGAAATTATTTGGAAGTGCAGTGGTAAAATGTTCGTTTTTGCAATTGTTGAAATAGAACCTTTCTTCTTTATTGAAGACTTTTTTTCGGTTTTGTTTGTTTTTCCCCAAGAAATACAATTACAGAAATTGCTCGGTATCTGCTAAATGTTTATGTTTTGATGAACACCACATTTTTAAATTACAAAATCTGGTATTTCAATCTGTCTTTGCATTTCCTTATGGGATCAGTGTGTCCTGCTCCAGACCTGCAGGCACCTTGCATATCCCCTACCATGTAAAATCTTTACAATCCTGATTTTCCCCTCAGATTTCTCAGCAGAGCCTGAGGCCCCTGAAGAGTCACCTTATAAACAGAAGAAGTTATTCTTTATATCCATAAATCACCAAATAAACTGTACCTGTGGGATCCAGAAATTTTATGGGATGCTTTTGCCAGTTCTCAGTGCTCCAAATTCACTGGGGTTGGTTGAATCCCCACAGGACCCTGGAGAAAGAAGGGAAAGAATAATTCTGCATCCAGTCTGAGGGCTACATAATATATTGAATAATTGCACATCAAGTGAGGAGGGTGAAAGGGACAATTGTAAACCAGGTCATTCTCTGAAAAAAAAAGGGAACATCCTGTGAAAGGAGAAATTTGTGACCATCTAATTAAGAAATATGTAATTATCTCTATACTTAAGGGGTCTGAGCTTCCAGTTTACTTAAGAAAGGAAGTCAGCCTCACCTAGATCCATGAGAAAGGTATGGAGCAACTAATCCTGGATTTCCAGACACATGAAGGACAAGCCAATCTCAACAAATCTGTGATTCTGTATTGCTTTAAGTTCTGTAAAATAGTAATTGACAACAAGTTGAGGGGAAGTATTCAGAGAATATAGAGAGGCAGAAATTACTTTCCCCATGCAAATGTTTTTGTTACCCGAGTTGCTGGATTGATTTCTTCCAATATAATTCTTGAAACGACTTTGAATACTGAAGCAGAGGAAATGTATTATTAATTGGCAGCAAGAAAAGGAAAAATGAGATTACTCTATAATTCTTTTTTTTCCATATTAAAATAAAATTTTAAAAAACAGAGGAAAACATTGCCAATTTTCTGTCACAGTATATATCACAAATTGTATACTGTAGTTTTTTATTTAATGGGCTTTTCAATAAACACTAAAATTAACTTGAGGAAGAAAAAAATCAACTTAACAACTTCACTGAAAATAAATTTGATGTATCAAGTGCACATCAGTGTCTTGATTATACATTTTCTATAACATAATTAAACTATCCTCTTGAAATTTATTCCAATGAGCACCCTCTTAGAAATTTTCATGTACCCTGAAAAATGAAACAGAGCGACCTATTCTTAAAGTAATGGAATGAACACAGCATTGAGGATTAAAAGCTATGGGATAAAGCAATATTTGTTGGTTTTTATGTGTGCAGAGGGATGCAGTGAGAACTGTAATAGCTGGTTCAGCAAAGGATGCTCTCCAAAGCCCATCTCTTTAGCTGTAAGAACTGTCAAGGAATAGTTGAGAAGCGGAGATCAGGAGGGCAGATAAAGGGAAAAAACAAACAGGACTGTGCCTCTGAGTGTTCAGGTACGCAGAGAAGTAAGAAAAAACTTTGTGTGTGTAGAAACACTATATTTCCTTGCCTGTGGAGGAAGTGGAGAAGGCCTTGTCCTCGATGCTCCAGTTCAGGCATCCATGTGGGACAAAGTGATAGACATAAGCAGAAAGTTCTGTGGGGAGAATGTGGAATAAAGATGGGGTGCTAGTGAGTGCAAACCTCAGAAGAGAGCAGAAACATCACCAAAACTACACTCGTGGAGGCTATACAAAAACTGGGAGAAGGACAGGGAAAAGAAAGGAGACAAAGGCGAGAAGCCGAGAGAGATTTACGGACAGCGGCAGCGAAATGAGGCAGCGAAATGCCCTGGGAGGTGGGAACTGGAGGACACGGCGGGAATGGCAGCACCGACGGGAGGAGAGTGGGAAGAAATGGGAGTGACGGCGGCAATGCGCACACCGGGAGGCCCCCGGCGCACCCCGCTCCCCCTCAGCAGCGGAGCGCCGCACCCCAAACCCACCGGGCGGAGCCGCCCCAGCCTCCCTCCCCGGACACCGGGACACCGACACCGGGACACACGGACACCGGGACACACGGACACTCACACCTGTGTGCATGTCTGACAAGCACGGACAAGCGCCCACCCACGCCGTGCAGTACCATGCCCCCGAATCAGGGAACGCGCCCGGTGTTGGAAGGGACCCACAAGGATCATCGAGTGCAGTTCCCGGCTCTGCGCGAGACCGTTCCCAACAACCCCACCCCGTGCATCCCTGAGAGCGCTGTCCAAACGCTGCTGGAGCTCCGGCAGCCATGGGGCCGTGACCATTCCCTGGGAGCCCGTTCAGTGCCCGACACCTTCTGGGGAAGAACCTTGTCCTGGCATCCACCCTAACCTCCCCTGGGTCCGTGCCCTGGGTCCCGTCCTTAGTTACCAGACAGCGGCGATCAGGGCCTGCCCCTCCGCTTCCCATCGCCAAGAAGTTGTAGACTGCATGCGATGAGTTGTAGAGTGTAGATTCTCCCCTCGTGCCGTGCCGTGCCGTGCCGTGCCGTGCCGTGCCGTGCCGTGCCATGCCGACGCGGGACGCACAGCCGACGCCTGCCGGCGCGGCCCCTTTAAATGCTAATGAGGCGGCGCGCGTGCCGCGCCGGCCCCCGCTGACTGTGTTAAAACTTCGGCGGGGCCATTTTGGGGGCAGTAAGACCGAACGCGGCCGAGCACCCAACACCTCCGCCCGGCACCATGAGCGAGGCGCCGGAGACCAGCGCCGCCAGCCCCGCGCCCGCCGCGCCGCCCGTCCCGGCCGCGGCCGCCGCGCCGCCCGCGCCCGCCGCCCGGACGCCGCTCCCAAGAGCCCCGCCAGCGCCTCCGCGCCGGGTGCGGCTGTCGCTGGAGGCGGCCCCCGGCGCCGCCGCCGCAGCCACGACCGCGGCGGCCGAGTCGGCGAAGAAAGTGCTGGGTGAGTGCCGAGCCCCGCTCGCAACTTCGCGGCGCACCTGCCGCGGGGCAGGGGCTCCGCCGGCGGCCGCCGCCCGCAGCCCGGGCCGGCGCGCTCGCCCCCCCCCCGCGGTGAGTCAGGCCGGGCCGCCTCCGCCTCCTCCCGCGGGCCGGGGGAGCCGCGCCGCGCCGGCCGTGACGCGCTGGGAGCTGGGCGGGAGCCCGTGCTCCTCATCGGCCCCGAGCGTGCGGGACAGCGAGCGCGGCACGGCCCCGCTCGGCCCCTCCCGGCACCTGCCGGCGGCGGCTCGCCCGGGGAGGGTTGCTGGAAAGCATGTGTGCCTCTCCTTAAGGTCCTGGCACAACTTTTCTATCCGTACTAAGCAGCCTGCATTAGTAATGCTTCCCGGTTTAGTGGGGTTTGCTTATGTTGGAGGGGCGGGGTTTGGTTTCTACTTTACT